CTCTGCCCGCAGGCAGGTCCGCAGCCGCCCCGCAGGATGGACATCAGGCCCAACCACACCATCTACATCAACAACATCAATGACAAGATCAAGAAAGAAGGTATCGGTGTCTGCGACTCGCCTTCCTCACGGACGAGTCACACGGGGCTACTTTATGCACACTTAGTCGGTATTTGGGCAGCGCCTTGTCTCCGGGGGCTCCCGGGCCTCTCTGAAGTGCCTCGCAGGCTGTAGTCGTACACTCGCTGTATCTGATGAAGCAGCAGCTAAAGTCAACAAGTGCAGCAAAATGTTAAGACTTTTTTTTGTAAAGCAGGGCCCAAGCTTCTAAGCAAGCTTCTAATTTGTGCTCCTCTGTAGCTAGCTGCATAGGTTAGGTTGGCTTGTCAGTGAATAACTAACAATAGGGGTGCCCTACTGTGAGTTAGAACAGAACCAATTCTGTTCAGTGATTTTACTTGTTAGATAAATCTCTTCAAAGTAAACAGTTTCTGAAGTTAACAGTGTGTTTTTGCAGACAGTGTCTGCTTCTAGCAGTGTTAACACTCGATGTTTAAAGTTACCACCCAGGACTTGTGGGCAGAGAGTCTCTTGCTTATGCTTGCTCCTGTGCAGACCAAAGCCACTGATAAATCTTGTGTACCACATTGGGGGTGCAGAAAGTAAAAGGCCACACCTGAGGGGAGGAACGTACAGGACAGGTGACCCTAAACTGACCAGTGAAGGATTCCATCCCATTATACATCATATGCAGTGTCAATATGAGGGATCGTGAGGGTCAAGCTCTTGTCGTCAGTAGCCAGTGTCTGAGGAGGCTTCTGTCCATTCTTCTGCCTTTGATCCTAATCCATGTGTTCCTGAACCCAGTTCTGGAATCTGGCTCCTGAGTCCAGTTAGTGTCCTCCACTGAGTCCTGTCTGGGACTTCCCCAGTGCCTGCCCACAGCATTGGGGTGACGTGATTGCCTTTGGGATACTTAGTTATTTTCTTAGTATTATTATCTTCTCATTTTGTTGTTATTGCTTCATGAAAGCTGTTCAGGTTTTCTTTTCTAGTCTGTAATACTCTCTCCCTTATTCATTTCTCTTGCCCTCTGGGAAAGGAGAGGGGTGAGTAGAGAGCATCTGTCATTCATCTAGTGGCCAGCCCAGCCCTAACCCTTGACAACGAGTAATGAGACTATCTGATGAATGCTAACAGGCATGTTGGTGTACATTTTGGTGGCCAGCAGTCCCCTCTTGCTGAAATATGGCAATGTCTGTCTCCTCACTTGTTTTAGCACCGTGGGAAAGTGGTGATCATGGTGTGAGCAAGCATGTTAGAGACACTGCTCTGCAGGTACTTCAGCTCTCTGGAGAGAGGTGACTTCATGCTGAGGAATTTTAGCTGCTCTGAGTGCTAAAAAAAAAGAACTCTTGACCTTATCTGGCTGTATATTCAATGTCTCATAGAATCATCCACTTAATACTCCTGCTTAGCTTGTAATCTCAAGTGATTACAGTAATTTAGTTGTTATTGGTTGTGAACCAAGCAGCTGGATCGGACTAGCACTACTTAAATGTATCTTCAGGGTGTTTCAGAGAGAGATCTGAAGGTGGGAACAGCTTTGCTGAGAAATTATTTATTAACTTGTCAAGATGGTTCTACTGAATAAGTTTAACTCAAGGCTTTGTTTGTTGCATGTTAAGTGCCCTATAAACTAGTGAATCTCTATTATGAAATTTCATGGCTTTAATTTTTAAATGTAGGGTTTCAGATTACTTGCAAAGCTGACAAATGTGGGTTTTATTTTTTAAATACACTTGAAAAAGTTATTTTTAAGGAAAATGTTTTAAGAAACCTTCATAAACCCCAAACAAACATAGAGTGTTGTGGTGGGTCAGGAGCAGCTGGCTCCGTGCTGGTGTTACTGAGCCTCAACAGTCATAAAAAAGAGCCAGTGCTCCTACAGTGCTGAAATACTTCATATGGCAGATCTGTGAGTTAGAATGATAACACAAAGGATTTGTTTAGCATGATAGGATAATATTAAGGTTTAATTTGGTGTGTAGCCCAGTGATTTTAAATAATGAAAATAAATCCATTGCGGCTTGAAGGTACAAGTGTGATCACATAAAAACCTGCTTGTGTCCAGAATAAGAAAAAATACTCCATGTGTGTGAGAGAATTGATTAAACAGTCACAAACAAAATTCCCAAATGTAGTTGGCCTTTGAGTAGTCATTATTTTGCTGTGTTTTTATTTTAAGTCACACCTCTTTCCCCTTGTGCGTTACAGTATTGGGGTTTTTTTCATGAGTCTTTGATGGCTGTCATATATCCTATTTTAATGGGTGAGGATGTGTGTTTATATATATGAAAAAATGTATACAGATACCCTTGTACTGCCATCCATTCTAAGAAAGTGAAAATTACACAACTTTTTCACTAGCTGAATACTTGAGGTGTGAAACTAAGCCTTGTACACCAACTGGGCAAATGAACTTGTACTCAGGCCACAGTTTTGACTAAACTTCTGGAACACATCACTGTGTGAGCTAAAGCTGGCAAACGATGTCCCTGAAGGAAAGAACACTCTGTAGAAGTGGAGATTTCCATGTACCCTGTCATAATCTAATTTTTTCTTATTGTTAACAGAACTGAAGAGGTCCCTGTATGCATTATTCTCACAGTTTGGTCATGTGGTTGACATTGTGGCTTTAAAGACTATGAAGATGAGAGGACAGGCTTTTGTTATATTTAAAGAGCTGGGCTCATCTACCAATGCTCTGAGACAACTGCAAGGCTTTCCCTTTTATGGGAAACCAATGGTAAGTTGTTCTGTCAGTCTTTTAAAGGAAAAATATTGCCATGGTACTGTGCAGTGTTTTGGTACTTCCACCTTGTGAATTAATTACCATGAGTACTTGTAATTGTGCAGTTCCTTAGTCACAGCATGTCCTGATGAAGAAATGTATTTATATGCAAGCCAAAGGGATGCTGGAGAAACTGTAGTTAAAACACACTCAGAGGCTGAACTTAGTATTTAGGTTTCCAAAGTGATGGCTTTATCTTTTCCATGCTGGATTAAAGATTTTAAGATCTTAGATACTTCCACTTTACTCATCATGTCTTCTCTTGAATTAAACTAATTGTGAATATTGTTAAAATTAGGTAATTTCAGTTAATTTATCTAGAGTGACCTTGATTACTACTATATTAATAAGAAATACCTAGAATATGATGTTTCCTTTTTGAAGTGAGTAGGGTGAAGATGTCTGCAGTTTTACTTTCCAGAAATCAACAGACGTGACTACTGGTTTACTTTTTAAACTGATGGCTGGTTCTATTTGTGCATGCATCAGATCATCAAACAAAATAACTATTTCAGTATAACTTCAGTAAAGCAAACACACTGCTGTCTGATAGAGCGTGGTTTAATCACGTACTTGATAATGTGCAGATTAGCACAACAATTGACACGTTGTTGCCTGCTTGGATAATTGGATATCTCTTAATTCTGCTATTTCTGAGGCATAATGATACATGCAAATGGCCCACTTGACTGTGGTGATGGATGGATGGATTAATAATGGCTTTCAGCTCCTGGCTTTGAGCATTAAGGAGAGCACAAACAGTTGTGTTGCTGAGCCACGAGCCTTTTTTTTCATTAACACTTTCAGATTCTCTAAGGAAATCCTTAAGGAATTGTTCAAGCTCAGTTCTGTCGTTTACCCTTAGAGCTTTGTGCTCAGTAAAACTCAGTAGGAAATAAAAAGATAAAGGCTACATAAGTTTTCAGTTGTACATCCCTCTTTGAGTATTGCCTGCAGCATGCATACTCAATCTAAGCACTCAGCAAAAGCATTTAAAAAAAAAACCCTTCAACTGTTGTGTAATTTTAGAAGATTAGTGCTAATTTTGTCAAATGTCCTTATATCGCTTTATGCATCTGTTACCTTGGCAGATGTTAAAAAGATGCTGTTAGATGAACAGAGATCCAATTTCAATGAGGTAAAATTAGTAATTTCCATCTTATTTTTGTTAGTGTTCTGTAGTTGTGCTCAGAATGAGGAGAATTAGATCCTCTGTAATCATACCTACAGTTTATAACCATATTTTTAATACAGCAAGTTCCTGGGGGGGAAAAAAAAGTGAATGCACAGTAGAACACAGTTGATGAAAGTGGTGGAAAATGTTCAGTATCATTAACTGCAAAATATACTGGGTTTTTTTCCCTTTAAAAAGCGTATTCAGTATGCAAAAACAGACTCTGACATCATCTCTAAAATGCGTGGGACATTTGCTGATAAGGAAAAAAGGAAGGAAAAGAAAAAGGCCAAATCTCTGGAGCAGTCAGCAAATGCAGCAAATAAAAAGATTATCCAGGTAAGCTGCTTCTCTGTTTAAAAAAGTGAAAAACAACAAGCACAGAGGCTGTTTTAAGTTGAGTTTTTTAGGTCTAAGTATTGTCTTTTGGCACTTCTCAATTCTCTAAGTTGTGGTCTGTTGATACTTTGTACTCGTGAGCACTCACTAGAAGCTGAAGGAGGGTGGGCTGATGATATAGTTCTTGCTGTTTCTTCTTTTTCCCTTTGTTCCCTATTACCATATGAAAATAAAGATGTGGAGTAAAGGTAGAATAAACCAAAGTAGAAACTAACCTCTTTTTAAACATAAGGGGAAAAAAAAAATAAAAGGGGTGGTGTGTGCTTATGCTTAATGCCAGCTTCAAATGCTCAACCAGCTTTTCCCTTCAGTGTTTTAATGCCCTGTTTGCTCTATAAGCACTGAAGAGTGGTAAATGGGCACAAGATAATTCGTTTACAGTTAGATGAAAAGGAGTTGGCTTGGAATGTGTGTCCACTAAGGGTTGGCCTGGCCTAAACTAACTTCATTTAGTCATTTATGTGCTGAAGTACAGCAGAAAACATCAAAGCACAGAGTTGGAATGTTGTGTTATTTAACTGCACTTCCTGCTAAGGCACAAATTGGTGTCAAGGAGAAAGAGTGTTTGTAGAAAGCAATATTTTCTAAATAGAATATTCTGATTTCTCAGCATATATTTTTTAAAAAGTCAATTCTTAAGTAAAAAGATTTTAATAAGAAATAATTGTTACCATGTATAATGGTGATAGGTTTAGTTATCCTCGCTAAACTGGAGTCCTCAGTGGAGACACCTATTTTTATACTATTAGGTATGTCCTGTCTAGGCCTTTATTTTTCAAAACTTCTTCCTTCCTGTCTATTAAACCAGATTTTATAATGCAAAGAAATAGTGATTTGATTTATCTGTTGACTCAGCCATTAATCAGATCAGATATTACTGATGTTTTTTCTTTGATTGCTTGGGTTTTGAGTTCAGCAGAATTCTCATGCATTACTTCTCCCTTTGGGGGAAGTATTTTGTAAGCAAAAAATGTTGCTTAGGTTGTAGCTTAGAAAAAAACTTAACATATTTCTTGAGTTGTACAGAAACATGGTGATGTGTGCTGGTATATTTCTAACAGAAGACCTTTGTGAATCTATTTTGTACTTCCTAGGGAGCAACACAAAATTCAGCCAATGCCCCAGGGACAGCAGCACAGAATCAGCAGGTAATGTCTTTTCTTATGACTGAAAGCAATAATGTTTAAAATTTTTCTCTATGAATAATAGTTTGTTACACATGGAAACTTGAGGATATATTTTACAGCTTCCCTTTTGTTCTGTGAGGTTCAACTGTCTGGCAGTTAAATCACACTAAACAGAAGAGATGCCACTTGACTGTATCTGGTTGGCATGAACTGAAAATCTGCAGTTTCTCATTGTTGCACAGACAACCACACGATGAGCAGATGCTATTTGGTTATTAAATTTGGACTCTGCATGGTACACATTTTGCTGTTTATAAATTCCCTTTAACTTATTTTGCTCTAGCAGTAGAAAAGGATGAAGACTGCACAGGGTGCCAGGCTATCACACTTCTTTGCAGGAGTTTGATGGTGATCTGCTCACTTGGGTTTTTTTCCCCCCCTCTTAAGCGTCTTATTTTCCAAAGGATTGTGTGGAGATGTAGCAGCAGCTCCCTGTGCTTCACTCCTCTTGTCTGCTCAGTGACCTAAATGATTGATGTGTGTTAGAAGTGGAGGTACTAAAGAGCCAGGATTTGCCAGAGGGTAAATAGTACAGAAGAATCTCTTTGCCTGCCCTGTGCCTCTTTCTTGAGTGCTGTTGTTGAGAACTGCATATGTAATCCACAGGGGAAATGTTTTGCTCCCAGCCTGGCTTTTCTTTCAGGTATCATTTGTAACAAGGCACACTAGTGTATGTCAGTTTGTATCGAAGCACAGAGCTGCATATTTTGGTGTTTGATTGAACTTCACAAGTTTATTTTCTAATAGCACTTCCTGGAATATTTTCAGCAGCTGAAGGGAATTGTTCTGCTGAGGCATTTAATTTACTTGGTACCACTGTTAGGAGGTTTGAAGTTGTGGTGTCTGGTTTCTTTTTATTTTTGTAATCTCCATGATGACTTAGGGAGATTTCAGCCTTTCAGCCCAGCCTTGACTACTCAGCCTAGTGTCTGGTGGGATGCTACAAATTTGTATTAGCAGGCAAATCTGTTAAAGATGCTAAAGCTTTAAATCCAGTGGAGTTTCTAATTAATACATTTGTGTAGAACACTGTGGTGAAACCATGAGATTTTAGTGGGTATCTGTTGCCCAGAGATATTCTGTATTTTGTTACTCCTGCAGATGAACAGCGTATTTATCTTGACCTCCCACTGCTCCTCCAAAAGGATGGGAGTCTTTCATAGGTTCTTCCCCTGCCATACAGACGTCTTGGTCAGCACTTGGCCATGGTGCTTGGGCACCACGGTGCCACCCTGGCAGTGCTGGCAGTACTGCAGTTACCAGCCGAGTCTAAATAAGGCATCTAAGAGACTGTGATTTCTGTGGGCATAAGAGCATCTCCAAATTAATCTCTCCTTGTAAAAGAACCAAGGGGCTCTGTCTGCATGTTGCATGAAGGTATTCTGAAGTCCAGCTAGCAGTGTTATGAGAAGAAATAAGGATTCATGAGGCTTGACTGGAGTGATTGTGCAGACAGGGAACAGAGAGCTGTGTATAATCTTCTGAGCTTTGATCTTCTGTTGTTGCAGGTGCCTGATAACCCACCAAACTATATCCTTTTCCTTAATAACTTGCCTGAGGAAACCAATGAGATGATGCTGTCCATGTTATTCAATCAGTAAGTTTTGAATAGAAGGGACTTCTCCTTTGAATTCTTCTGTTACCTGTATGCTTTTTCTCAGTTGGCAAGCTGACTCTTTGGAAATAAGAGTTTCTTCTGAAGGTATTTCAGTTCTTTGTCTTACTGCCAGGATTACAGATGTCACTCCTGATGACTTGGAGTCATCAAATCTGCACTGGACTTAAGCTGCTGACTGTAATGTTAGAGACTTTACAACAGCAGGAGGAGTTGTAAAACTAGCTTTACTTGCTTCCGTATGTGCACAAGGCTGATTAAATTGCTTCCACATAATGAGCCTTAATTGAGGCATGGTTTGAAGGGCTGGACATGTGAAGCCCTTCAGTTTAAGTCTTTCATTAGTCAGTGCCTATGATAAGGTCTTATGGGCACTGAAGAGAGCTGTGTTATCAAACTCGGAAATATGACCTGACTCTTCCACCTTATTTTAAAGGTTTCCTGGATTCAAAGAAGTACGTTTGGTGCCTGGGCGCCACGACATCGCATTTGTGGAGTTTGAAAATGAGAATCAAGCAGGAGCTGCTCGAGATGCTCTCCAGGGATTCAAGATCACTCCGTCTCATGCCATGAAAATCACTTACGCGAAGAAATAACCAGATATTCTGTGGATAGTTGGTTTTTTAATACAGTGGTGACTTTGATCAGCTAGCATGTTTGCTGCTCTCTGCAGAAAACTTGTGTAAAATCACCACAACGGCCAGGACAGATGTAGGATTTCCACAGTTCTACTGAATAGTACATTTTTTTTGTGCTGAAATACTAATTTTTATAAAATAAAATCAGTCTGTACTGTTTTCAAGCCACGTTTTTCCTTGAATCTGTCTTATTATTGAACTGTTAGGGTTGCAGGGCTTATCCAGTGTGCTGGTTTAACTACTTATGAGGTGACATTCATTTTTCAGGCGTGGGTGCTGGAAAAATAGCTGCCTTTCCAGAGCAAAAAGTTTCTAAATGTCAGCATATTCAGAATAAATGCAGCACTCAATCTTCAGCCTCATTATCAAGGGGACAGCTGCTTTTCAACAAGAATAATTTTGTCACTTAAGAAAAACAACTTATCATTAGTGGTTTTCTTTTTTTTTTCCCCAGGTATGGGTAGAAATTGATAGCAGTTTGACAGCACTGCTGTTCAACTTGTTTTTGTCTCTGATGATGGCTGGTAGTAGAGGCAGGTCCACAGAAGAGACATAAAAGTTTATCTTTTGTCTTCTTTTCTGATCTTGACAGCCTTCTTATTACCATTGATTTTAATAAATCATTTAGGAAGTACTTTCTTGCTTTTAAAAAGACAATGCAGATGAGTCTGGTGGTCCATTTTTAGGCAGGTTTTTCCCAGTACATGTCCTAATGCTTCTGGGCTGGTTGGTTGTTTTCCATTTGTCAAAAACTTTTACACGTCTTACACTGAATGCAGTGAAATAATCAGAAGTAGTGATGTGAGTTGTAACTGTTCTTAATATTTGGGTGCAAAAATCACTTTGAAAGCTGAAGTGTTTTATTCAGATGATGGAAGACTTAGATATTTTAGGTTAAGAGAATAATGAAATTTACTTAAAATATATTTTTGGTGACTCTTGCCATAGCTGTTGCATGGTTTTGGGTGGGTGGTTTGCAGTCAGACCCTTGGAGGTGAATGTTTGAGTGGAAGCAGTCATACAGTGCTTGTCATAGAATCATAGAATCATTTAGGTTGGAAGGGACCTCCAAGATCATCAAGTCCAACCATTGAGCCATTAGGGCTCTAAAGTCCTCTGCTAAAACAGATCAGAATCTGTGAGGGTTGGGAGGGACCACAAGGGTCACCCAGTTCCAACCCCTCTGCCATGAGCAGGGACACCTCCCACTAGATCAGGCTGTCTAGAGCCTCATCCAGCCTGGCCTTAAAGACCCCCAGGGATGGGGCCTCAACCACCTCCCTGGGCAACCCATTCCAGGGTCTCACCACTCTCATGGTGAAGAACTTCTTCCGCACATCCAGCCTGAATCTGCCCACTTCCTGTTGGACCATTCCTCACTTCAGTGCCGCTTCTGCGAGGCCACTCGCTACCCTTTCAGACAAAGAAGTAATAGGATAGAGTTAGCATGATTTCCCTTAGGAGTAGTTCAGGCAACTTGCTTTTTTTATAAAATCTTGGTCTACTTTGTAGTTCTGGCATGTCCACTCGGTTTCTCAGCAAGTGCTGTGTTATCTGTGAGCATAAAGCTAGCTACATAAGCCTCTGCTCTATGCACAAGACCTGGAAAATGTTTCATCTTGTGCTCCCAGAGTACGTGGCAAGATGATGCCCCTTTTGGTGTCATCTTGATTGCTGTCATAGCTCCATAGAGGTATGTTTTCTTTTTTAAGTGCTTTCTTTGTGTGTATGATTTCACAAGTATTCTAATACTTGCAAGTGAACATTATTTCAGTGGGCCTATACAGGCACAAAAGTGACTGTTACTCTCACAAACATTATGTTTTAATTTCTGCAGTCAAAATTTTATAGGCATTAATTATGCCATCCTTGCATCCCACTGGTGTGCACATGAGGCTACGGTTGCATACCAGCACTCTTCACCTTAATTCACTTAAAAACTTTAAAACCCTCAAGACTCCTCAGTCAGTTTAAACATTCACTTTGAAAACGGAGTTGCTGCTTTGAAAACCACAAGCCTTTTTACTGGGTTTCAACTCCTTAGTGATTGTTTATGTCTGTGTGGTGTGCTCCTAGTAGGTCCTTTTTGTAGACTGTAACAGGGGAGTCTCTGCTATTGAGGTTTTACAGTCCAGCAGAGATTATGCTTGTCAGTAAGCATTTGTGAAAACGAAGAACTCGAGGATTTCAAAGGATGTAATTTCCTTTGCTGCTTACCACGGGTCTGACTTAATTTTCATTCTCAAACTTTATTTGTGGTAGGATTAAGCCTACAGACAACAACAGGAAGGCTTAAAATGTTTAAATAATAAACACTCTGATTAAAATGTTAATGCAGAATGGCTTTGGGAAGGGATTGGGTTTCATGAGAGGACCCCGAGGTCTTCCTCCCGCCTGCGGCTCCTCTAGTGGGAGTCCGGAATGTCGCCCGGACCCCTTCCCATTGGCCCGGCGTGTTTGTCCAGCTGTCTGCCCCTTCCATAAAAGATGGGGCTGGCTGGACCCGGCACGAGTTCAGCAAGTGCTGCAGCAAAGGAAAATGCCACAGCACATTTATCTGGTGGTTTTACTTTTGTATCTCGGGTTAACGTGTCCTCTCGTCACTGGAGCTTTTATGGACAAGCTCGCCAGCGAGAAGCTGTGTGCTGATGACGACTGTGTCTGTAAGTAATTCTGCTTTAATTTTGAGGAGAAAATAGGCTCAAAAATGACTGTACAGTTTGGATGAAGTACTGTGGGGGAAAACTGCTTATTTAGCTGTGTTAAGTTTGTGTTGGCTTGTCAACTCTAATAGCAGAGTGGGAGGTTTTATGTGGAATGTCACATGCAGTTTTACTGGAAAAAAGGGGTTTATAAAAGATTTTTTTCTCAAGAGGTGAGTGTAGAGAGAAAGATGGTAACTTCTACTATGGTGAAATGGAAGATTCTTAAGCTGTTGCTTACTGGAAAACAAATGAGCAGAATGAATTTCAAGATAATCTACTTTTTTCTGTAGAAATAATTTCACATGTGTGCATACAAGCATGCATGTGTTTATACTTCTCTCTCTAAAAGTATATATGTATTTAAATTTATCCACTTAATTTTTCTTCTTTTTTTTCTCTAGACACCATTTCCCTTGCCAGAGCAGAAGAGGATTATAATGCTTCAGACTGCAGATTCATTAATGTTAAAAAAGGGCAGTTGATTTATGTTTACTCAAAACTAGTGAAAGAAAAAGACTCTGGAGAATACTGGGCTGGAAGTGTAAGAGGAGATTCTTGTGTATATGAGCAAACCAGAAGTAGATTAACATGAATTTCTATTAAGAAATGGATGCTAATGCTGAGCTATTTGTGGGTTTCAAAGCAGAAATTCCTTTTTCAAAGTGAATGTTTAAACTGATTGAGGAGTCTTGAGGGTTTTAAAGTTGGGATTTCTTTTTTTTCTTTTTTTTTTTTTTTTGGTAATGAAATAACTATATGGTAATTATGAACTGAACCTTAATGGAAGAGCTCGACAGTTCTTTTCCATGGCTGCTTGCTGAAAGTATGAAGGAGACAACTTTTATCACAGTTCATCATAAAACCCTTAAATTTAAGGGAAGCAAAGATAAATATTAGCTGCATTTATTAAAAATTTCCAGATTAAGTGGTATTCATTTACTCCAGAAAACGTATGCCTGAATCAGAACTTGTGGTAATGGTTCGTTTCATGTGCCAGCTAATTGGAAACTAGGAAATCTAATACCAGAGTAAAAGACACTATTAGTAACTGCTTTTGACTAAATTATGAACCAGCTCAAACCAGATAAGGACTGTTTTAAGGTACCTAATTATACATCTCCTTGCTTGAAGGTTTATGGAGAACAGTATGAAGACCATATGGGGACAGTTGGTTATTTCCCTAGCAGTTTAGTCTCAGAACAACATGTCTATCAAGAAGCAAATAAGACTATTCCTACAACGGTAAGGAATTTGCAAAAGCCCAGCTGGCTATATAATTATGCTTGGCTGTGTAATGCTAATTTGCTGTAAAAACAAATCATAATTGTGGCAGTTGATTGTAGCATATCACAGATGCTTAGGGATCAACTCTTTGGGCCTTTTATACAGGCAAATAGCATCCACAAAATCCCTAACATAAGCTCTGATACTGCAGACATTGCAAATGCTGCATTAAGGGCTTGATCCTATTAGAGTTCCTATTGATTTGAATAGTATTCCTTCAAGGCCACATATGTTTTACTCAAAGCTTTCATTTTTTAGGGTCTGGATATTGTGCTGCGTACTTCAGTAGAGTGTACAAGTGCACTTTCTATTAATTGTATGTATAGATGGACACCATCAGAACTTCTGATTTACTGAAAGCACGCTTACTTTCTCATAATCAAGTCATTGGTACATTAAGAAGCTTTTGGAAACACGTTAATGTTGTGTAAGTAGGCTGTATTTCTGAAAGAGTGATTGTCCCTGATTGCATACAGCAGTGTCTTATACACCAGACACTTAATAATTTTACTGAATATCTGAAACACTTCACAGAGGAGTCAGAGAGGAGGCTCCTTTCTCAGAGGCTGGTATGGTTTGGCTTACAAGGGGTACTTACTGGTAGCTTATTTCTAAGCTTTTTATAATGCTTAAAAACAAATTGAGTGGTACATTTCCAGTAATTACCCTCAACACCAATGAATATTTAACTATATGCCATTTTGAAGTGTGTGGCAAAGTACAATTAGTGTGTCAATCTTGAAATTTTATCCGGAGTCTTTAATCCCAGGTCCAGATTACTGCATGGGTTTCATTAGCACAGGGGAAATAAGTGGAAGGAGGAGTTTTGTTTCATGTTAGTAGTCGCTGGGATTTGTGTTGTAAGGTGCCAGACAAGCTTTATTTGAGGAAGTGCAAAGCTTGGATAAGTGATTGCTTTCCTTGACAGCTTAGGTTATTCTGAATCTGGCCCAGAAACACTGCAGCAATTAATTAGTCATAGAACATGAAGGAATGACTAAAATATGTTTCTAAGCTTTTTTCCTCAACAATATGACAGCCAGCCTGCTG